GTGGTAAAGTAAGAAGGTTATCACTGTGGGTGTAATTACCCCGGTACACTGTGGGAATGTAAGGTAACACTGTGGTGTAATATACGGTAACATAGGGGTGTTAATTAAGGTAACACTGTGGTGTCTTTTAAGGTAACACTGTGGTGTAATATCAAGAAAACATTTTTTGGTGAAATGTAAGGTAACACTGTGGTGTAATATCAGGTAACTGTGGTGTAATGTAAGGTAACACTGTGGTGTAATATCAGGTACATTGTGGGGGTAATGTAAGGGAGCTAGCTAGCTTTCAGTTTGATGGTCCCAACTCACGTTGATATGTTCATTCATGTTTTATGGACTACTTACAAAGCCTTTTTTAAACATTTATTGGTAGCCCACTACACTACAGTTGGTACACTGGGAGAAGGCAGCCCCTCTTTAGGTAAATGTTAACGTTAAGTATCCCCCCACCCCTTTTTTCTAACCCTGGTGTGGATAACCTTTTTTCCCTCCTTTCTTCTTTTTCCAATACCCCCCCCCCCCTAACCAGGTGCGCGGGCGACCTCCAACGACCCGTGGGGCCCCTCTCCCGCTATTTCATGATCGCTGACCTCACCTTTTAAACTTTGGGTGGCGTTTGCTGGTCTGGCATGGTCGGAAACCGGCCTCAACGACCAGGGGAAAACTGGAACACGTCTAAAAGGTAAAACCACCTTTAAACAGAACAACCTTCCTTCAAAAACCCTTTAAGAAACCATTACGTCTAAGGGAAACACCTTAAAGAACCCCCATTAACGCTACAAGGTAACCCAAAACACCTTAAACACCACCATTAAGTCTACAAGGAAAACACCTTTTAAAGACAAACACCCTTTACGTCTACAAGTAACCACCTTTAAAAGACACACCATACGTCTACAAGGTAAACAACCTTTAAAGAAGACCACAACCATTACGTCTACAAGGTAAACACCTTTAAAGACACACCATTACGTCTACAAGGTAAACACCTTTAAATGACACACCATTACGTCTACAAGGTAAACCAAACCTTAAAAGACACACCATTACGTCTACAAGGTAAACACCTTTAAAGACACACCATTACGTCTACAAGGTAAACACCTTTAAAGACACACCATTACGTCTACAAGGTAAACACCTTTAAAGACACACCATTACGTCTACAAGGTAAACACCTTAAAGACACACCATTACGTCTACAAGGTAAACACCTTTAAAGACACACCATTACGTCTACAAGGTAAACACTTTAAAGACACACCATTACGTCTACAGGTTAAACACCTTTAAAGACACACCATTACGTCTACAAGGTAAACCCTTTAAAGACACAACCATTACGTCTACAAGGTAAACACCTTTAAAGACACACCATACGAACACCTAAGTTGCAAGGTAACACCTTTAAAGACACCACCTTTACGTCTACAAGGTAAACCCCTTTTAAAGACACACCATTACATCTACAAGGTAAACACCTTTAAAGACACACCATTACGTCTACAAGTTAAACACCTTTAAAGACACACCATTACGTCTACAAGGTAAACACCTTTAAAGACACAACCATTACGTCTACAAGGAAAAACCCCCTTTAAAGCCCACCCATTACGTTACAAGGTAAACACCTTTAAAGACACACCATTAGTCTACAAGGTAAACACCTTTAAAGACCACCATTACGTCTAAAAGGGGAAAACACCTTTAAAGACACACCATTACGTCTACAAGGTAAACACCTTTAAAGACACAACCATTACGTTCTACAAGGTAAACCCTTTAAAGACAAAACCATTACGTCTACAAGGTAAACACCTTTAAAGACACACCTTTACGTCTACAAGGTAAAAAACCTTTAAAGACACACCATTAAGTCTACAAGGTAAACACCTTTAAAGACACACCATTATGTCTACAAGGTAAACACTAGGGTTGCAAAATTACATTACATTAGTTTTTTTGTTGTTTATCCTGGTTGGAAGATTCCTGGGGTCAGAAGGGAATAAACAGGAAATGCAGAATCCTCCAACCAGGATTTCTAGAAAACCAGGGACATTTTGGGAAAGGTACCGAAATGTTGCAACCCTAGCAAAGACACCTTTTTCAACGTTGTTTTTTATTTTTAAGAAAATGTAGTGGAGAGAGAGAGTGAGTAGATATACCAGATGAGACCAGATTAAACGAGTCTGTCTTTAAAGGTTGAATATTCAGAAATAGCTCTAATAGTTTGCCTAATTTCAGTTTACGTGGCAAAACAAGCAGTCATTGTGTAGAGAATCATTGTACCATCTAAACTGCTGTCAAATATATTTTCCATAACCAAAAATATTGCATTTTCAGCTGTTTGAAGCTGGTGTACAAAACCGAAAGTAAAAGACACAAAAAAAATTACTTAACAACTGGAAGCAAAGAAATTGCGCATATAGAACAGATCTACCGCTTCTTAGACTTGCTTTCAATGAGAATGTGAATTTGGAATAGTTACATTTTTCACCATTAAATCAGTCTGACTATTTTGGTCTTATTTTAATATCCTAAATTAGTTTGTACTCATTTTTATCATTCTATGCAGCTTTTATCAAATCTATTTTTAAGTTATGTATTTTAATTTTAGTTTTGTATGTACAGCACCTTGACTTGTGGTGTCTGTATGAAATGTGCAGTAGAAATAAAGTGTATTATTATTATATTACAAGGCCCTGACGCTGCTCGACTACTTGATCAAGACCGGCTCAGAGAGAGTGGCTCAGCAGTGCCGCGAGAACGCATTCACCATACAGGTGGGTGGGGGAAACTGGAGTACGGTGGGGAGGGTGTTCTGGCCAAAATGGCAGCGAGAATCTCATTCACCATACAGGTGAGTGGGGGAAACTGGAGTACGGTGGGGGAGGGTGTTCTGGCACAAAATGGCAGCGAGATCTCATTCACCATACAGGTGAGTGGGGGAAACTGGAGTACGGTGGGGAGGGTGTTCTGGTACAAAATGGCAGCGAGATCTCATTCACCATACAGGTGGGTGGGGGAAACTGGAGTACGGTGGGGAGGGTGTTCTGGCACAAAATGGCAGCGAGATCTCATTCACCATACAGGTGAGTAGGGGAAACTGGAGTATGGTGGGGAGGGTGTTCTGGTACAAAATGACATAAATGCTGCAGTGGACTCCTGCTATACACTCTTAGAAATAAAGGTGCTATCAAGAACCTTAAAGGGTTCTTCGACTGTCCCCATAGGAGCACCCTTTGAATAACCCTTTTTGGTTTCAGGTAGAACCCTTTTGGGTTCCATGTACAACCCTTTCCACAGAGGGTTCTACATGGAACCCAAAAGGGTTCTACCTGGAGCCAAAAAGGGTTCTACCTGGAACGAAAAAGGGTTTTCCTATGGGGACAGCTGAAAAACCCTTTTGGAAGCCTTTTTTCTAAGAGTGTAGAATGGTGTCGGTTAGGAATCTCCATGCAATACAGAAGACTGTGGACCCAGCTACATGCACTGGAATATGCACTTACCTGTCATGCTATTAAAAGGAGTTATAGTAACACCAAGCTTATGAGCACTTCACTTCATGTAATGAGTACGTATAAACTGTAGGAGTATCTACAGTTACGCTCAAATATACTGTCACCCTAGCATGATTCACTATTTATTTTAAAATAAAAAAGTCTACTTCACATTAAACCCTTATCATGTCTCCTATGTAAGGGGCATAGGCTATATAATAATGTATGTGTAATAATGTATATAATATCATGTATATGTAATAATGTATATTATATTATGTATTTATACAACGGGTGGGTCTAATCCTGAATGCTGATTAGTTAAAACCTCATTCCAGCCGGTGTCTATTCCACAAGTTACCACCGGCTAAATCTGACGTTAAAATGCCTATTTACTCTGTTCCATCTGATTGCTCAATCCACTGACTCATCAGCCCAGCCAGGCAATTTATAAACTTGATCTCCACTGTAAAAAGCATCTAGACATTATCCCACATTTATTTTAGACTAACATTTAGTTTTCAACAGCGGAGATTTGTATAAACCTTGCTGTCTGTCTCCGACATTTGCAACATTGTTTCTATATTCAAATTCGATCTCCAGCTGTCCTATAGTAATGAACGTGTCGGGACGAGACAGACTGTTAGCTGTGTTGTTGGCTAGCTCCTCTGAACAACAGTGTCCTGACGAGTGAGCACATTTCCTACGCGAAATCGCACCTCATTAGCTCATTGTTATGGATGTATCCAAATAAATGTCACTAGAAAACAGCTTAAACAAACACAAATGCAGCTACTTTGCTGTTATTCTGGCTGCATTGTTTGACGTGACTGTAAGTTAGGCATAGTTGGCTAACTAGCAAGCAAGGGATAAGAACGTTGCCAGCCAGTATGGCAAAGGAACATTTACAACGAACGACTGGGTCGCGTCCATAGATACAGAACAAAAGGACTGAACGACTAGGTCACGTCTCTGGCAACCGAACCGATAGAACAAACGACCAGCCGGCTTGGGTAGCAACCCTAGATTTGTGTCGGGACTATTATCATGTGGAAGGATAATATGTCAATCATTATTTGAATATGTTGGTAACCCCTTGTATAAAAGTGATAATGCCCTCGAAGTGTTTGGAGGATATATTAGCTTAGTCTCGGGCCTAACACCCGTGCCAATATATCCTTCAAACACCGGCTTCTCGGCATTATCACTTAAATGTAATAATAATATAATGTATATGTAATAATGTATATGATATAATGTATATACTATAATATATATAATGTATATGTGATCATGTATATTATATAATGCTAAGGAATCAATTTCATATTAAATCCTCATCATCATGTCTCCATGTAGACGCTGCGTGACTTCCAGTACATGGACCGTGACGGCCGTGACCAGGGGGGCAACGTGAGGGAGAAGGCCCGCCAGCTGGTGTCTCTACTCAGGGATGAGACGGCTCAGACAGAGGAGTCCAGGCATTGACGACTAAGAAGCATGACGGCGGGAACGGGGGAGGAGAGTAGGGAAGGGGGAGGAGGAGGAGGGACAGGGGGGAGGAGGAGGCCAGGGGATATAGATGGAGCCGGGGTTATGTAGAGTACATTGTGATATGATGATTACAGTGTGAAGGATATGACATGTGAGCAGGGACGTGGGAGGGAAGGAGGCCCGGGGCATGTGAGTTGTACCTCCATCGTACGCACCCAGGCCGAGACCAGCCACCAATTGCAGCTCTCTACGGGGAGAGTCCATCCGCTCCCGGGGCTCGCCTCCTCCTTTAACTGTGAGTGTAGACTTTAACACTTCCCCTTTAACTGTGAGTGCAGACTTTAACACTTCCCCTTTAACTGTGAGTGCAGACTTTAACACTTCCCCTTTAACTGTGAGTGCAGACTTTAACACTTCCCCTTTAACTGTGAGTGCAGACTTTAACACTTCCCCTTTAACTGTGAGTGCAGACTTTAACACTTCCCCTTTAACTGTGAGTGCAGACTTTAACACTTCCCCTTTAACTGTGAGTGCAGACTTTAACACTTCCCTTTGAACTGTGAGTGTAGACATTAACACTTCTCCTTTAACTGTGAGTGTAGATTTTAATACAGTCGTGGTCAAAAGTTTTGAGAATGACACAAATATAAATGTTCACAAAGTCTGCTGCCTCAGTTTTTTATGATGGCAATTTGCATATACTCCAGAATGTTATGAAGAGTGATCAGATGAATTGAAATTAATTGCAAAGTCCCTCTTTGCCATGAAAATGAACTTAATCCCCCAAAAACATTTCCACTGCATTTCAGCCCTGCCACAAAAGGACCAGCTGACATCATGTCAGTGATTCTCTCGTTAACACAGGTGAGAGTGTTGACGAGGACAAGGCTGGAGATCACTCTGTCATGCTGATTGAGTTAGAATAACAGACTGGAAGCTTTAAAAGGAGGGTGGTGCTTGAAATCATTGTTCTTCCTCTGTTAACCATGGTTACCTGCAAGGAAACACGTGCCGTTATCATTGCTTTGCACAAAAAGGGCTTCACCAGCAAGGATATTTGGCGCTAGTAAGATTGCACCTAAATCAAACCATTTATTGGATCATCAAGAACTTCAAGGAGAGAGGTTCAATTGTTGTGAAGAAGGCTTCAGGGCGCCCAGGAAAGTCCAGCAAGCGCCAGGACCATCTCGTAAAGTTGATTCAGCTGCTGGATCGGGGCACCACCAGTGCAGAGCTTGCTCAGGAATGGCAGCAGGCAGGTGTGAGTGCATCTGCACGCACAGTGAGGCGAAGACTTTTGGAGGATGGCCTGGTGTCAAGAAGGGGAGCCACTTCTCTCCAGGAAAAACATCAGGGACAGACTGATATTCTGCAAAAGGTACAGGGATTGGACTGCTGAGGACTGGGGTAAAGTCATTTTCTCTGATGAATCCCCTTTCCGATTGTTTGGGGCATCTGGAAAAAAAGCTTGTCCGGAGAAGACAAGGTGAGCACTACCATCAGTCCTGTGTCATGCCAACAGTAAAGCATCCTGAGACCATTCATGTGTGGGGTTGCTTCTCAGCCAAGGGAATGGGCTCACTCACAATTTTGCCTAAGAACACAGCCATGAATAAAGAATGGTACCAACACATCCTCCGAGAGCAACTTCTCCCAACCATCCAAGAACAGTTTGGTGACGACCAATGCCTTTTCCAGCATGATGGAGCACCTTGCCATAAGGCAAAAGTGATAACTAAGTGGCTCGGGGAACAAAACATCAACATTTTGGGTCCATGGCCAGGAAACTCCCCAGACCTTAATCCCATTGAGAACTTGTGGGCAATCCTCAAGAGGCGGGTGGACAAACAAAACCCCACAAATTCTGACAAACTCCAAGCATTGATTATGCAAGAATGGGCTGCCATCAGTCAGGATGTGGCCCAGAAGTTAATTGACAGCATGCCAGGGTGGATTGCAGAGGTCTTGAAAAGAAGGGTCAACACTGCCAAACTTAATGTAATTGTCAATAAAAGGCCTTTGACACTTATGGAATGCTTGTAATTATACTTCAGTGTACCATAGTAAAAATATCTCATAAACTGAAGCAGCGAACTTTGTGAAGACCAATACTTGTGTCATTCTCAAAACTTTTGACCCCGACTGTACTTTCCCTTTAATGTACCGTAGTACCAAATTCAGAGTGCTACTTTATAGACTTTTACTTCACCTGTGTGTGCACATTTTAAACCTCTCATTTAACTGATTATATGCAAGCACGACCACACAACTTCATGCACATACACACACACAGCACAAATTGAGTGTGCTCATGTGTGTTCTAACCTGGACAGTCAATGAAATAGATTAAAGCTATCAATAACACAAGACAACCCACAAATATTTATCCTTTCTACCATATCAGTTTCTGTCCTCTCTCTCTCTCTCTCTCTCCTCTCTCTCTCTCTCCCAGCTCTCCTCTCTCTCTCTCTCTCCCTCTCTCTCATTTTCCCCTTCCCCTCCCTCTTCCCTTTTTCCCCCTCTCTCTCTCCCTCCTCTTTCCCCCTCCTCTTTCCCCCCGCCCCTCTTCCCCCCCTTTCCCTTTTCGTCCCTCTCTCTCTCTCCCCCCTCCCCCCCCCCCCCTCTCCCCCCCCCCCCTCTTCTCCTCTCCCCCTCAAAGCGTCGATCGAACCCCCCCCCCAACAGGGGAGGGGGAGCTCAGTTTACATCCCGGTGCTTGGGGCCCCAAAAAAATTTACGGGGAGGGGAGAGTGAGAGGGTAAAAATAATGGGAGTGAGGGGGAGTGGGGTGAGTGATGAGTGGGGTGGTGGTGAGTGATGGGAGTGAGTTGGGTGAGTGGTTGATGATGAGTGGGTGGACTCCTACCCGCTTCGGGCATCTTCTTTCAGATGTCCCAACCCCCACTAAATGAGTTTCAACACCCCTTTTCACAAGTATTTCACCAACCTGGGATTTTTAAACTAGGCCCAAAAAGAAGCAAACGGGGGGGACTACTGAACTTGTCCGGGGAAATGCTTTTTTTTTGAAACGGGGGGGGACACAAACTTGTCCAATGGGAACGCTTGTTTTCGAAACGGTGGAGGGCTACATAACTTGCAAAACATTTACTACCGGGGGCGAATGAAACAACCCTGCTGTTTTTTTCCCTTACATGATTGGGAAAGTGTGTTGCTGGTTTACCCTCTTATTTTCCCCTAGTTCAACGACTGGTCCTTCTCCCTCTCTCCTCTCTCTCTCCCCCCTCTCCTCTTCTCCCCCCCTTCTCCCCTTTCCCCCTTCCCCTCTCCCCCCCTCTCGCTCATTCCCCCTCCCTCTCTCCTCCCTCTCCCCCCCTCTCCCTCTCCTCTCTCTTCTCTCTCTCCCCGCTCTCCCCTTTCCCCCTCTCTCTCCCCCTCTCTCCTCTCCCCTCTCTCTCCTCCCTCTCTTTCCCTCTCTCCCTCTTTTCTTTTTCTCGCTCTCTCTCTTCTCTTTTTTCCCTCCCCCCCTCTCACCCTGTTATGCGAACTCTTGGGTTGTCAGATCTTCACTGACAAAACCCCTTTCCTGGCCCCGGGCCCCTCCATTTATGGAAAGAGGTGGACAAAACGCTAAAAATTTTTTGATCCACAAAGGGGAAGGAGCCACAACAACGACAAACAGACAACAACAGACGAATGAAAATTCAACCAGAAAAAACATGACACACACCCCCACAGCACATACACACAAAAAACACATCCCACACACACCAACAACTGCCACCACAACAACACACCACACACACACACAAAACCCCACCACACACACACAGACAGACACAACACACAGACGACGACACACACCATACACACTACACAAACACACCACACACAGACGACTATCACCCCACACAAACTAAGATTGCCCCCTCTGCCGCTTCCCCATGTGTTTTATTTGAAACCTTCTGCATGCCATGTGAAAATCTCCTCTAACTAACTATTTTTATCCCCCTCCAATTCCTCCTTACCTCTGCTCGGTTTCCCCCTTAATCACAATTTTTTTCTCTTTCCCCCCCTCCCCCCCTCTCCTCCCTCCTCCCTCCCCTCCCCTCTCTCTCCCCCCCCTCCCCTCTCCCTCCCCCCCCTCCCTCCCTCCTCTCTCCTCCCTTCCCCCTTTCCCCTCCCCCTCCCTCCCTCCTCTCCCCTCTCCTCCCCCCCTCTCCCTCCCCCCCTCCTCCCTCCCCTCCCCCTTCCTCCTCTCCCTCCCTCTCTCCCCCCTCTCCCCCTCTCACCCCCCCCCCTCCCCCCCCTCCCTCCTCTCCCCCCCTCCCTCCCTCCCCCTCTCTCCCTCCCCCCCTCCCCCCCCTTCCTCTCCCCCTCTCTCCTCTCCTCTCCTCTCCTCCCTCTCCTCTCCTCCCTCCTCTCCTCTCCTCCCTCCTCCTCTCCTCTCCTCTCCCCCCTCCCCCCCTCTCCTCTCCCTCCCTCTCCTCTCCTCTTTCCCCTCCTCTCCTCTCTTTCCCCCCCTCCCCTCTCCCTCCCTTCTCCTCCCCCCCCCCCCTCCCTCCCTCCCTTTCTCCCCCTCTCCTCCCTCCCCCTTTTTCCCCTTTCTCCCCCTCCCCCCTCCCCTCTCCCCCCTCTCCTCCTCCCCTCCCCTCTCCTCCCCCCCTCCCCTCCCTTCTCCTCTCCTCTCCTCCCCCCCCCCGTCCCTCCCTCCCCCTTTTCCCCCTCCTTCTCTCCTCTCTCCCCCTCTCCCCCCTCTCCTCCTCCTCCTCCCCCTTTTCCCCCTCCTCCCCCTTTCCCCCTCTCTTTCTCTCCTCCCTCCCCTCCCCCCCCTCTCCCTCCCTCCCTCTCCTCCCCCCTCCCCCCCTCCCCTCTTCCTCTCCTCTCCTCCCCTCTCCCCCCTCTCCTCCTTTCACTTTTCCTTCTTTTCCCCCTTTTCTTCCTCCTTCCTGCTTTTCTCCCTTTTTCTTTCTCTCTTTTCTGTCTTTCTTTCTTTTCTTCCCCTTTTTTTTACATTTTTTTTTCCTCTCCTTACAAAGTGTGAAATCTTTTTAATTGGTGTTTTTTTTTTTTTTTTGTGTTTTTTCTTTCCGTGTGTGTCCACATTTCTGTAATGTGTTGTGTGTAAGTGGGGGTCTGCGGGCCCCTTTTTCTCCAAAAAGGGGTGGGGGTTCCAGGGCCCTGGACAGGTAAGGGGGGAAAATCCCGGAAGGTAGGGAGAAGGAAGGAAAGAAGAAGAGAGAAGAAAGAAGAAAAGAGAAAGAGAGAGAGAGACAAAAGAAAAGGGTGTTTAATATAGACGGGGTTGCTACACGTCACAAAAATTGTGCGCCGCATCGATGGGGCCGGGTGGTGCTTGTTATTTCTACGGTCAATAGCAAATGCACCCATGACAGTGCCAGGTCCTTTTTAAAGAGTGTTTTTTGACTCTTTCCGTCCCAATTGGCAAATCCCCTAGCTAGCTAACCAACAACTGGAACGATGTATTTGAGAGACAACAAGCGCTCATTGTGCACATTTATTTATGGTTTCAATAAACATTTGGAGACGGAAATATAGTTTACATGTTGTCAACAGTCTAAGCCAACCCCGTCTGTTTCGCACCATAGTTGCACACGCGTCGCTTTTGTTGCTAAACAACCAACCTATAACCCTGAAAGCAGCATGATATCTCCTTTGGAAGATTTTTGTGGTTCTGTTTCTCTCCAGTCTGCCATGTTGGATCTGGTGGATATCTTTGGCCCCGCTGAGGCACCGCCCCCAGCTGACGACCCCTGGAACGCCCAGCCTGCTGTGACCTCTGACCCCTGGGACTCTGTGGGTGAGTGGTAGACGCGCCCACACACACACACACACACACTCTGTTATGCAAACTCTGCACTGCAAAACGTGTGCGCCCTCTCTCTCAACAGCAGTCCACACCAACACTCCTGTGATTGGTAGTCCCTGGGCGACCCGCCCCTCCTCCAGCAGCCCAACCAATCCCTGGGCTCTGTCACGCTCTCCCACCTGGAAAGCCCCGCCCACATCATCATCCAGCCCTGTCAATCGCGGCTGGCAGAGCCCGCCCACTCTTACAGCGGAAGGTACTGATAGGACAGATCTCTTCTCTGTCAGGGAGGAGGAGAGTAAAGGAGAAGAAGGAACATCCAGAGTCTTCAGCCCTCTGACTGGCAGTCCTACTGGTAACACCCACACACACACAACTAAACACACACCACACACACACCACCCACACACACCACACCACACACACACACACACACACACACACACCCACACACACACACACACACATACACACAACCACCATCCACACACACACACACACACCCAACCACACATACACACACACCATACACACACACAACACACCCACAACACACACACACCACACACATCACATACACACACACACACACACCACACATACACACACACACCACACTACCCACACATACACACACACCCACACACATACCACACACACAACACCACACCACATCACCACACACACACACACACACATACACACACACACACACGTTTATCTTCCTGTAAGTATATGTTGTGTTTATACCGCATGTTTTCCTGCTGACTATATGTCATTACATCTTTCTCCAACCTCCTCCTCCACAGGCCCAGACCCGTTTGGGGAGCGTGTTCTGCCCCCCCAGGTGAACGGGCGAGAGGGGGACAGTCCGGAGATGTTTGACCTGTCCCGTCTAGCCCCCCCTCAGGGCTCCGCGACCCCCCGGATGTGTCGCACCCCAGAAGCCTTCCTGGGACCTACAGGGGCGTCGCTAGTCAACCTGGACGCACTCATACCCCCTACTCCTCCTAGCAGGACCCATAACAACCCCTTCCTCTTAGGTGAGGAGATGCACACACACACACACACACCTACTGTCAAATATCAACTCACTGCCAATGTCCAAATACTATAAACTTTCCCCCTCCTCCTCCCGTCCCCCCTCATCCCCCTCCCCTCACCCCCTCCCCTCTCTCTCCCATCCCCTCTCCTCCCTCCCCTCTCTCTCCCCTCCCTCCTCCCTCTCTCCTCCCCCCTTTGTCTCCCCTCTCTCCTCTGTCTCTCCCCCCTCTCTCTTTCTTCCTCCCCCTGTTCTCTCTCCCCTCTCTCCTCTCTCCCTCCTCCTCTCTCTCCTCTCTCTCTCCAGGTCTGACCGCTCCCTCTCCCACCAACCCATTCCACTGTGACCAGCCCCGCCTCACCCTCAACCAGATGCTCCGCCCCTGCTCCACCTCCCCCCTACCCCCCCACACCCTCCCCTACAGCCCTCCCCCCTCCCCTACACCCCTACAGCCCTCTCTCCCCCTCCCTCTCCCACACAGCCCTCCACCCTCCCTCCTCCCCACCCCGCCCTCCACCGGCCTCCCTAGACATCCCCTCTAACCTCCCCCATCCCCTCCTCCCCCTCTCCCCCGCCCCGGCCCACCGCGTCCCGCCCCAAACTCACACACACAGCCACAACCCCTTCCTCTGAGCCCTGAGGGGAGATGGAGAGGCAACTGGCTCTTCAACTGGATCAAGCTGCTGTTGTTCTATTGGAGGTGAAACCCCTCAGAGAGAATAGGACCCATTAACGCTTCACCCCCGTACCCCTTACCCATCTGCCCCACATCCCCCTTTATGTTGCCTTTTTGCACTGGACCTAACACGCTTTACCAACTGAACCTGACTGGACCCAACTGGACTCAACTAGATCAGATCAGACCTAACCGGATTAAACCTGACCTAACCGGACATAACTGGATCAAACCAGACCTAACCGAATCAAACCAGACCTAACCGGATAAAACCAGACCTAACTTGATCAAACTGGACCAAACTTGGTCAAACCGGACTTAGCTGGACATGGCTGATTGTATTCTCAGACCCTCGTGCCTGTCTTGTCGACAGACCCACAATGCTTTGCGACCCAGCTCCCGTGGCGTCTTGGAGGACCTCGGGGAGACCACTTTTCCCAGCCAACGAGATCACGCTCAGTCGAACTGGAGTTGTGGATGGACGGAGAAAGAGAATGAAAGAGAGAGATGAATAGATAGAAACAAACAGAGAGAGAGAGAGAAATGGACAGAGGAAGAAGGTATACTCTCTATCTCTCTCTTAGGAGGAGTGATGAGCTGTGATGTCTTCTCTGAAGAAGGTATACTCTCTATCTCTCTCTTAGGAGGAGTGATGAGCTGTGATGTCTTCTCTGCACTGACAGACAGATAGGGACGTGAATGGGTGCATAGATACACACACACAGGCTACTGCAGTATATGAACAACTATACTAATAAATGATGGTGTTTGTTGCATTTTAACACCGCAGATGTTTTACTGTGTGTGTGTGTGTGTGTGTGTGTGTGTGTGTGTGTGTGTGTGTGTGTGTGTGTAGGTGGTGTGTGGTGGTGTATGGTGTGGTGTGTGGTGTGTGTAGTGTGCTGTGGTGGTTTGTTTGGGTGGTGTGTCCGGTGGGTGTGTTGTGTGTGGTGGTGTTGTGTGGGTCGGTGGTGTGTTGTGTGTTAGTGTCGTGTAGTCGGTGGGTGTGTGTGTGTCGTGTAGGTGTAGTGGTGTGTGTGTGTCGGTGGGTGTGTGTGTGTTGTTCGGTGGTGTGTGTGTGTCGGTGGTGGTGTGTGTGGTGGTGTGTGTGTGCGTGTGTGTGTTCTGTTAGGTGGTGGTGTTGTAGGGGTGGTGTGTGTGTGTGTGTGTGTGTGAGCTCTCCTCTCCGATCTTTGACAGAATGCTAGAGATACAGTAGTGATGTCATCACTGAGGTCACAGGACACAGTGTGCTGAATCACTGCTCTATTCATGGGTTGCATTCTGCCTCACCACATACACTTATAAACTATCTCTCGCACATACACGCACACACACACACAGCAGAGTTTCTAACCCAGGGGAACCAGACTGCAGTAAAGAGAGGGAGAGCGGTGAGAGAAAGAAAGAGAGATCACTGTTCAGTGAATAATGATGTAAAACATCACCACATCTGACCACCAGGGGGTCTTTTACCTTTTTCACAGTGATTCCCCAACCTCTCCTCCAGAACCTCCAGTGATTCCCCAACCTCTCCTCCAGAACCTCCAGTGATTCCCAAACCTCTCCTCCAGAACCTCCAGTGATTCCCAAACCTCTCCTCCAGAACCTCCAGTGATTCCCAAACCTCCTCCAGAACCTCCAGTGGTTCCCCAACCTCTCCTCCAGAACCTCCAGTGATTCCCAAACCTCCTCCAGTACTCCCCATGATTCTCAAACTAATGAGGGCATTGATGATTAGGTGACCATTAACACAGCTGATTGAACTAATGAGATGATTAGGTGACCATTAACACATCTGATTGAACTAATGAGATGATTAGGTGACCATTAACACAGCTGATTGAACTAATGAGATGATTAGGTGACCATTAACACATCTGATTGAACTAATGAGATGATTAGGTGACCATTAACAAAGCTGATTGAACTAATGAGATGATTAGATGACCATTAACACATCTGATTGAACTAATGAGATGATTAGGTGACCATTAACAAAGCTGATTTAACTAATGACATGATTAGGTGGCCATTAACATAGCTGATTGAACTAATGAGATGATTAGGTGACCATTAACACAGCTGATTGAACTAATGAGATGATTAGGTGATGATTTAGGTGACCATTAACACAGCTGATTGAACTAATGAGATGATTAGGTGATGATTTAGGTGACCATTAACACAGCTGATTGAACTAATGAGATGATTAGGTGACCATTAACAAAGCTGATTTAACTAATGACATGATTAGGTGGCCATTAACACAGCTGATTGAAGTAATGAGATGATTAGGTGATGATTTAGGTGGCCATTAACACAGCTGATTGAACTAATGAGATGATTAGGTGACCATTAACACAGCTGATTGAACTAATGAGATGATTAGGTGATGATTTAGGTGACCATTAACACAGCTGATTGAACTAATGAGATGATTAGGTGATGATTTAGGTGACCATTAACACAGCTGTGCTAGTTCTGGAACACATCCAATAAGTGTACTGGCTGGGATACTCGATAAGACTATATGGACAGGTTGGGACCTGATCCTAGATCAGCACTCCTACTCTGAGATGCTGTGGATACCGTCCCTGGTCCCCCCCCTCTCCATGTGATGTTATTCATTGCGATTCAAAAGACAAAACTGATCCCAGGTCAGCACGTAGGGCCCCTGACCTTGTGACTGTAACAGTAGCTCTGCTGATGGTGTGTGTCTGCCTGCCGTTCTGTTCCCCCTCTGATTCAGAGAAGGTCACAGCACTGCTCATTACTCTGTGTGTGTCTGGTCTTAGTCTGCTGGTGAGGGCTACAGCAGTAGACTATGGTGTTGTCTGTCCCTCATGTGAAACTATAGAGCTTTGGGAACAGAGAGGTTGGACTAGTCTGAAGACAGCACAGCCCATCTGCCAACTTCTGTCTGTAGCGTCCGAACAAACTCTCACGAACATGTACATGTCGGTTGTTTTGCTCTGGGACGCCCACAGGCCTCACAGAACAAACTTCCTTTAGATTTTTTTTGGGGGGGACTATCTGTTGTTCCATGTAGTGAATCTGTTATTCAATACATTTGTATGGGCTAATAGCAGTAGGTTTTCATCAAATAATTGTTTAATATGTTTTGTTGATACTTCAAGGGGTCTTAAAATTCTAAATCAAATAGCAAAATTATCCTTGGTATGACCTTCTTAAAACAATTCCATATAGCTTTGTAGCCCCCCCGCAGCACCCTCCTCGACACCCTTACTTCGCCCCCCCCCCGCCCCCCCCCCCCCCCCCCCCCCCCCCCGCAGCACCCTCCTCGACACCCTTACTTCGGGCAGCAGATGTAGACAGGAACGTGTGTTTGTGAGTAATGTTCTCTGCCAGCCCTTGATCCTTTAATGTCTGACTGTCTGTCTAAACACACTAATTACACTCTAGCTCTGATCATCACTCTAAACAGAAGTCACACACACACACACACAAACTCATGCACACACACACACACACACACAAACTCATGCACACACACTGCACATGGTGTTCATTTGTGAAGTCCAAAGCTCCACATAGGGAAGCCTCAGCCTGGACTGTATACATGTTCTAATCTCTTGGTGTATAAGGTCATACAGTGTGAACGTCTTCTGGTAGATGTGCTCCATATTGCCATATGGTGTGCATCTGGTGGTTTTGACAGGAGGTACCTCCCACATTCAACAGGGGGCAGCAATGGGCAGAGCATGACAACACCCTTAGTATAGTAGACCACCAGACCCTTAGTATAGTAGACTACCAGACCCTTAGTATAGTAGACTACCAGACCCTTAGTATAGTAGACTACCAGACCCTTAGTATAGTAGACTACCAGACCCTTAGTATAGTAGACCACCAGACCCTTAGTATAGTAGACTACCAGACCCTTAGTATAGTAGACTACCAGACCTAGTATAGTAGACTACCAGACCCTTAGTATAGTAGACTACCAGACCCTTAGTATAGTAGACTACCAGACCCTTAGTATAGTAGACTACCAGACCCTTAGTATAGTAGACTACCAGACCCTTAGTATAGTAGACTACCAGACCCTTAGTATAGTAGACTACCAGACCCTTAGTATAGTAGACTACCAGACCCTTAGTATAGTAGACTACCAGACCCTTAGTATAGTAGACTACCAGACCCTTAGTATAGTAGACTACCAGACCCTTAGTATAGTAGAGACTACCAGACCCTTAGTATAGTAGACTACCAGACCCTTAGTATAGTAGACTACCAGACCCTTAGTATAGTAGACTACCAGACCCTTAGTATAGTAGACTACCAGACCCTTAGTATAGTAGACTACCAGACCCTTAGTATAGTAGACTACCAGGACCCTTAGTATAGTAGACTACCAGACCCTTAGTATAGTAGACTACCAGACCCTTACTATAGCAGACTACCAGACCCTTAGTATAGTAGACTACCAGACCCTTAGTATAGTAGACTACCAGACCCTTAGTATAGTAGACTACCAGACCCTTAGTATAGTAGACTACCAGACCCTTTATATAGTAGACTACCAACCCTTATATAGTAGACTACCAGACCCTTAGTATAGCAGACTACCAGACCCTTAGTATAGTAGACTACCAGACCCTTAGTATAGTAGACTACCATACCCTTAGTATAGTAGACTACCAGACCCTTAGTATAGCAGACTACCAGACCCTTAGTATAGCAGACTACCAACCCTTAGTATAGTAGACTACCAGACCCTTAGTATAGTAGACTACCAGACCCTTAGTATAGTAGACTACCAGATCCTTAGTATAGTAGACTACCAGACCCTTAGTATAGCAGACTACCAGACCCTTACTATAGTAGACTACCAGACCCTTA